CTTTGTATTTCAGATTATGTTATCAGAATCAATAATATAGTACTGATTCAAGGGCAGGAACTTACTGTAGATATGGAATCCCAAGAAAATTTGCCTGGCAAAATCAATGGAAAGGCTTCTGAATGAGGATAAACCCAAGAACATGAAGGATGGACAGAAATATATCAGAGAGCCGAGCGCAGTGGCTTGTAATCCCACCACTCCGGGCAGAGATGGGCGGATCACCTGAGGTCAGGAGTTTGAGACCAGCCTGGCCAACATGGTGAAACCCTGTCTCTACTAATACAAAAATTAGCCAGGTGTGGTGGTGTAAGCCTGTAATCCTAGCTACTTGGGAGGCTGAGAGGAGAATCACTTGAACCTAGGAGCTGGAGGTTGCAGTGAACTGAGATCGCGCCACTGCACTCCAGCCTGGGCGACAGAGCGAGACTCTGTCTTTAAAAAAAAAGCAAAGTAGTATATCAGAGAAACACAATCAACTGAGAGAAAATATAAGTGTGATGAATGTGGGAAAACATTCACTCAAAACTCAAGCCTCATTAGACATAAAAGAATCTGTACCGTAAGACACGCTGTTCATGTATGTAACGTATATATCAAAACTTTTACTCAGAGCTCACAACTTACTGACCATCAGTAAATTTTAGTTTAGCCAAATAAAACCCTATCAGTGTGATGAGTGTGAAAGTCTTTTATTAGAGTTCATATCTTATTCAGCATTGAAGGACCCACACAGGAGAAACATTTCCAATGTAGTGAGTGTGGGAAAGTTTTTCATGACAGCTCAGATGTTATTTGACACCAGAGAACTCACACAGAAGAGAAACCATACCAGTGTAATGATTGTGGGAAATCCTCTCTGAGCTCATATCTGAGACAACATCAGAGTTCATACTGAAGAGAAGCCATAGCAGTGTAGTGAGTGAGGGAAAAGCTTTAGCTAGTGCTTGGGCCTCTTCTGTCACAAGAAAATCCACAGTGGAGAGAAACCATATGAATGGGACAAGCATGGAAAGGCCTTCAGATACAGTTCAGCTCTTGTTAGACACCAGCGAATCCATGGTAGAGAGAAGCCCTATGAGTGTGATGTGTGTGGGAAAGCTTTCAGTAACAGCTCACATCTTTTGGGACACCGAAGAACCCATACTGGAGAAAAGCCCTGCAAATGTGGTGCATATGGAAAACTTTTCCAGCGGAGCTTACACCTCATTTTACATCAGCAAATCCACACTGAAAAGAAGCCCTGGTGATGTCAAGCGTGGTGCAACATTGTTCATCTACGCTCATTCCTGTGGAACATCAAAAAAGCCCAACTAGAAAAAGATGTCACCAATACAGTCTTGTAGGGAACTCTGCAATCACTATTGCAATTTCAGCAGTCATTTAAAAATACGGCCAGGCATGGTGGCTCAGGCGTGTAATCCCAGTAGTTTGGGAGGTGAAGGTGGGGGATCACTTGAGACCAGGAGTTCAAGACCAGCCTGGGCAACATAGAAAAATTACATATAACAAAAAATTACATACAACATACAAAAAATTTAAAAATTAGCTGGACATAGTGGTGCATGCCTGTAGTTCCAGCTACTCAGGAGTCTGAGGCAGGAGGACTGCTTGAGCTCAGGAGTTCAAGGCAGCAATGAGCTATAATTACACCACCATACTCCAGCATGAACAATAGAGCAAGACTCTGTCCCAGAAAAAAGGAAAGAAAATATATGTGAAGGCTGAAATGGGCAAGCACCTGCAGGCTTGCTAAACAAGGCTTTCTGATTCTCTGCCATTAGGCACATCACCTGATAAACTGGGACTCTGCAGGGGCTTATTCCATACTCTCAAAATGTCTCTAAAGCAAGTGGCTCAGGAAATCTAAAAATTCTATTAGACATATATTGGAGGTTTTAGCAATTACTACTGTTCTCTTTCCCCTTCCCTTTTTCTCCTCTTCTATTTGCTTTCTTTGAAGTTGGAGTAATAATCTTCTCTAGAGTATGAAATTAGAACATCTGATCTACATAAAAAAGCCCTGTATTTTTTTAACTTGATAAAATACTATAGCTTTTTACTTACTTACCCTAAAAGCATTGTGAAATACAAAAGCCATTTTGTAATATTAGCATGAATTATTATTTACACAGGTAGGATGGTTCAGTGAGGGTAAAACAAGATTCATCATACAAATTCCCAGTAACCTTTCACATCTTAGAGAAGGCAAACAGTCCAAGTGGGCTGTATTTGGCCTGCACAGGCATTTCCTCCCAATGCAGTATTTTTAAAAATATTTAAAACTATTGCCATTATTTAAGAATCTGGAGATTTCACATAAAATCTAACTTTCCAGATACTTTTACAAAAATGCATGACGTGACTACATTAGACACCACATTCCCACATGGCAGCAGTTGACGAGCTGATTCATTCTACTCTCACCTAGAACACAAAGTACTAAAAATACTGCATTGGGTGGGGAAATGCCTGTGCAGGCCAAATACAGCTCATTTGGACTGTTTGCCATCTTTAAGATGTGAAAGGTTACTGGGAATTTGCGTGACGAATCTTGTTTTACCCTCACTGAACCATCCTACCTGTGTAAATAATAATTCATTCTAATAATTCATTCAAATTCATTCTACTCTCCAGTTGGACACGGTCCTCACTGCCACACAGCTTCTGTTGCTTTATACTGTCCTGTGGGGAAAAGAGAGATCAGCCTCTTACTGTGTCTATATAGAAAGAAGTAGACATTAAGAGACTCCATTTTGTTCTGTACTTGAGATGCTGTTAATCTGTGACCCTACCCCCAACCTTGACCTTGCAAGAGACATGTGCTGTGGTGACTCAAGGTTTAATGGATTTTGGGCTGTGCAGGATGTGTCTTTGTTAAACAAGTGCCTGAAGGCAGCTTGCTGGTTAAAAATCCTGCCGGTCCCTAGGCAATGAAACATCTCGGTGTAAAACCCGATTGTATGCTCTGTTTACTGAGATAGGAGAAAACCGCCTTACGCATAAGGTGGGACTCGCTGGCGCAATGCTGCTAAAAGGTTTATGGAGATGTTTGCATATGCGTACCAAGGCACAGTATTTTCTTTTGAACTTATTCATGTCACAGAGATCTTTATCCATATGTCTTACTGCTAATTTTCTCCCTAAAATGATCCTATTGTCCTGCCACTCCCTTATCTTTAAGATGGTAAAGATAATTATCAATAAATACTAAGGGAACTCAGAGACTGGGCCTGCGTGGGTCCTCTGTAAGCTGAGCGCCGGTCCCCTGGGCCCACTTTTTCTTTCTCTATACTTTGTCTCTGTGTCTCATTTCTTTTCTCAAGTCTCTGGTTCCCTCTAAGGAGAAACACCCACAGGTGTGGAGGGGCAGGCCACCCCTTCACTGTCCCCTTCATTCACCCATTTAAACTGTGTGCCCTAAGGATTTCTTAGTGAGGCTTCAAGGACTGTAGATGCTTTACCACCCAAACAGCTTCACTTTCATTAGTTTTATATATTAGCCTTCCAATTAAATTTTTCTATGAAGAATAGGTTTTCTGCTAACAAATCTGAAGATTTAGATTAAAAATTTTAAATATATTCTTTGATCACCTGAAGTTAGAGGAAAGCCACTTCGAAATTTTATTTGGATAGAATTTGTAGGTAATCTATGGGAAGTCAACTATAATAGCTTCTAGGAGACTCCTTAAAGACTAGTTCTTTGGGTAAGATAAAAAACACATGAAGGGGGTCAACATTAAGTGTAATAGTGAAAAAACACTGGGCCAAAAGCAGGTATTAAACTGAGGAGAGAATCATTTACATTTGAAGTATTTAGTATTAGGAGCAGTTGTGGGAAAAACGGTAGAATGGGGCCAAAGTGGGAAAATGGAGAGGTAGGGGGAAAAAAGCAGCGAAGAATAAGGGAAGGATGGGAATAAACTCTATGAGCAAAGGAAAGTGAAGAGAAATTAGGAGGGGGGAAGGGAAAAAGTGGTTAAAAAGGACAAGGACATGACAAAAACAAACTAAAAAGAGGAAATGGAAGCCAAGCTAGTGAAAGTATAGTAGGGGAGAACGCAGCAACCTTTAGAGAAATGTGAGATGGAAGCTGAAGGTCTCTGGAGGTAGGAGTACTTTATGTTCTTTTTATCACTGACTTCAGAGTAATAATCAACCTTTTATTTCCAAGCCATGTAAGCCAAATGCCTTATATGAAGGATCCTAACCCAAATCTAAATTTACTACTATTCCTTGAGGGCCACTCAGGATCCTTGCCCTGTGTTAATCTCTGAGTGTTGACACAGGATACCTCTCCTGTCTACCACTCTAGGCCCCAATTTGTTGAATCCTGCTCAGCCTAGATGCCACTTCAGCAAAAAAGGTTCTCCTGAGGAGCAAAAATATATGCTTGGCTTCTCCAGAGGCATCCAGAGTGCTCCTTTGTGGGAAGAAGTTTGTCTATTCCCCCTCTCCACCCTGCAACAGTATTTTCTGAGATAATAATACTCATTCTGAATTAAATAAATGATACATGCAAAAGGAAAAGCCCTTATAAAGTATAGCAATAGTAGCTGCCATTTGTTGAGCACTTACTGTGGTTCAGACATTGTACCAAGCACCTTATATATTTAATGTAAACTTTCCAATTCTTCTTTTAAGTTCTATATATTTTCTTAAACAATGTATAGACAAATTATTCTTATGAAAAGTTTATAATAAAATGACAAGTTTTTATTACATTAACATGTCAAGTAGCGGGCCGGGCATGGTGTCTCACACCTGTAATCCCAGCACTTTGGGAGGCTGAGGCAGGTGGATCACAAGGTCAAGAGATTGTACCATCCTGGCCAACATGGTGAAACCCTGTCTCTACTAAAAATTCAAAAATTAGCTGGGCATGGTGGTGTGCGCCTATAGTCCCAGCTACTCGGGAGGCTGAGGGAGGAGAATCACTTGAGCCTGGGAGGAAGAGGCTGCAGTGAGCTGAGGTAGCGCCACTGCACTCCAGCCTTGGGAAAGAGCGAGACTCCGTCTCAAAAAAAAAAAAAAAAAAGTCAAGCAGCGTAGCCGTGCTTGTGTTCTTTTCATCACTGAATATATTACATAATATAATCACAACTATGTAAAATATTTAAAATACTAAAAATTGAAAGGAAATTACAACAAACTCAACTGTATTTAGGTAATTAGGTAATTAGATTTCCCCTTTTTTCTTCCAATTTCTGTATATTCCAAATGGAAAAGTTAGAAAGAATTCATCACACACATGTAAATGCTTTTGAAAAATTAAAATGCTACAGAATTATCTGAGTCCAGAGATTATTCTTTCATAACATTTTCAATTATTGTCTTTAGGGTAGGGTTAGTTTATTTAGATTTGTCCACTTCTCAAATGAATTTTGGAACTAATATTTTTTCCCAGAAAATCACTAATTTCATTGAGATTTTCAAAAATGTTAGCAGGCTATTTTCCTCTGCTATTTGTAATTTATAATGTTTAAATGTTTTCTCTCAATCGGATTTACCATAGGCTTGTTAACAAAGATTTTATTTTTGTATTTATTTATTAATGTCACTATTTTTCTATTTTCTATTTTCTAATCAATTTTCTTCTGCTTTTACTTTATTTTTTTCTAGCTTTTTCCTTGGGGGCAGGGGAGGCTTTCTCCTTTTTGTAATTCCTTGAGTTGGATGCTTAGTTCATTTATTTTCTTTCTTTTTTCTATAACGAAAGCAAGTGAGAATATACATCTACCAAGTACTGTTATTTTTTAAATAGTCCACTGTGGGGATTTGTGTGTGGCAGGGGTGAGAAGGTTGGGGCTTTCTGTTTTTGTAGTTTTGGAAGATACAGGGGCAGGAGAGGAAGGTCCTGCTTGTCATATACCAGACTGTATACTTAGACTAATGAAGACGTCAGAGAGGCTTTATCCTAGTACAGGAAGAATACACCTAAGCTGAGGATAGAGCCAGGATTTTAACAAGATCTGCAACAATGATTGGAATCCTCCTTTTGTCTGGTGTTCAGCCACTCACGTTACCACAGCAGGTGCTCCAAGGTGCTAGCCAGTTAATTCTCCGAAGTTGGATGATGAGCCAGGGGCATATTTGAATATTCTGGGCTATTTAGGAAGTTCAGGAAGGTTGACCTGTGGCAGGTGTCATCCAGAAAGCAGGCTGGGCTTGTGCTTAAAAACCTGATGAGATAATTTAATTCAGTAAGATATTTAAAATAAAGAGAGCAAAACATACTGATAATACACTGTGCACCAAAGGGGAAGCAGGAAATTACTAAGCATTGTCTGGATTTTTTATCTGTTCAGTTGCCTATGAGGGACATGTTATGTCACAGTCAAGGGAAAAAGGGACTTTGGCTTTTGATCATGTACTTCTAATGGAAAGAAATGCAGGGGTTATACTTTTTCTAAAATTTTCTTTCCAGAGTGGAGAGTGTTCTAAAGTTTATTTGAAAATTATTTATATCTACACTTTCTAAATGTTTCACACAAATTTATTTGCTCACTTATATTTACTGTTTAAAAGCACAGGGAATTTGAATCTGATTTTCATCTTAAAGGAATTATACCCTTTTACAAGGCATAATTCCTTTAAGATGAAAGGTATATATCTACAAAAGGTATATATCTACGGAAGGATATACATTTCACAAAAAAAAAATTGTCAAACTAGATGCTGGGGACATTTATTCTTTTTAATAAATTTATGTGAATTCATTACTTACCTTTGACTTGTCAAGCAAAGAATTTCAGAGGAGGAAAATAGATATTGATGAAATTCTCCATCAATTTATAGGTTGTGGAGAATAAATAGGGTTTTAAGAACAATTATCTTTTCCCATTTCCCAGTAGTAAATCTTCGTAAGAAATTGAAATATTCCAGAAATATACAATGTATAAAATGCAAGTTCTCCTTAAGATTACCCCCAACTGATACTCACGGTGAATTTTATTTATTTATTTATTTATTTATTTATTTATTTTACTTTATTTTGTTTTTCTTGAGACAGAGTCTCACTCCGTCACCAGGCTGGAGTGCGGTGGCATGATCTCCGCTTACTGCAACTTCCACCTCCTGGGTTCAAGTGATTCTCCTGCCTAAGCCTCCTGAGTAGCTGGCACTATCAGGCACATGCCACGACGCCCAGCTAATTTTTGTATTCTCAGTAGAGACGGGTTTTCACCATGTTGGCCAGGATGGTCTCGATCTCTTGACCTCGTGATCTGCCTGCCTTGGCCTCCCAAAGTGCTAGGATTACAGGTGTGAGCCACCGTGCCTGGCCAACATTTTTAAGATAATAATTTTCACAAAAACAATCATACCATATCTTTTGTAACTTTTTATTTTACTCAATATACCTTTGGCATCTCTTAGTTTCTAAAAACTGGGTGGTATTTTAATGAATAGACATATAGAAATTTAAATTCCAAATATTAGGCATTCGAGTTTCCCAATTTAAATAAACAGTGCTTCTTTGTACATACGTTCAAACATTTAAGTAAGCATTTCTATATAGATAAATCCAGGAAGCTAAGTTTTGAATCAAGGGGTATGGACAACTTCTCACCTTCTAAATAAGTCTTACCTTCTAAAAATGTACAACTAAGTATGCCCGTATATCCATACACTTCCTAACACTGAATATTATAAATTGTTTGTCTTTAGCAATCTGAAAGATTTTTAAACATCTTTCTTGTTTTATTTAAATTCTTATTAGTGAATCTTTTCATATTCATTATTCTTAGTTTTGTGTTCTATAAATGTCATCTGAGTTCGTGTGAAGAGAGTCCACCAGGCTTTGTGTGAGCAACAAGGCTGTTTATTTCACTTGGGTGCAAGTGGGCTGAGTCCAAAAGGAGAGTCAGCAAAGGGAGATAGGGATGGGGCAGTGTTACAGGATTTGGGTAGGTAGTGGGAAATTACAGTTAAACGTGGTTATCTCTTGTGGGCAGGGGCGGGGGTCACAAGGTGCAGGGTGGGGAGATCATGAGACTCATTGTCGGGGGTGGGGGGAATGTCACAAGGTCGATTGATTAGTTGGGGTGGGGCAGGAACAAATCACAATGGTGGAATGTCATCTTTTGTGGTTCTGCAGTTGCTCCAGGTCATCTGGATGTATACTTGCTGGTCACAGGGGTTATGATGGCTTTGTATCATATTGTCAGAGGCCTGACAATAAATGCATGCAGGTTAAGTACTTTGTCTATTTTTCTATTGGCTTGTTCATATTTTTATTTTTTGGTAAGATAAAAGGTCTTTGTATATAAGGAAAATCAGCTGTGTCTTTTAGATGTGTGGCATATTTTACTTTTAATTTATATTTTATTTTTACTTTTTTCATTCAAATATTTTAATTTTACAAGACCAGTTTCATTTATCTTTTCCTCCATGGCCTTTTCAGTTTTATGTCTTTAGGGTTTTGCGTTATTCTTAAAAAGCCCCTTCCCAGTCCAGTTTTCCAGCCTGTCTCCCTGCTTCTGCCCTTGCCCAACCCCTTCACATTCAAGTCTACTGTTAACATAGCAGCCAAAATAATAATTTCAATACCCAAGTTTAATCATGTTACTTCTCTACTCAGAAATCTCGAATGAGCCATGCTGTGTAGCTCACACCTGTAGTTCCAGCTAGTCAGGAGGCTGAGGCAAGAGGATCACTTGAGCCCAGGAGTTTCAGGCTGCAGTGAGCTATGATCACACCACTCACTGCACTCCAGTCTGGGTGACATAATGAGACCCATCACTTAAAAAAAAGGAAAAGGAAAGAAAAGAGAAAAGAAAATAAACTTTCAGTAGCTTAGCATTTTATCATTTTAGAGTAAAAATACTCTTGCACTCACCGAAGGTTCTCACTCTCTCTCCACCCAATGCTCTTTTGCTCACTCAGCTCCAGAAAAACAAGTATCCTTCCTTTGCCCAAATTACTTAAAACACACCTCACTCCAGGCTTTTGCATTTGTTATCCCTCTCCCTGAAACATCTTTATCCCTGATGGCCCATTCCCTCAGCTCCCTCAATCTTTGCTCAAATGTCAATTTACTTGTCAGGTCCTCCATGAATATCCTATTTAAACTGTATCACTTCATTCTCACCCCAAATTCCCTATTTCCTTTATTTTCTCCTTAGCACTAATATTCACCATCTATATACTATATTTTTTTTGGTTTATTGCCTGCCTTGCCACCACACACACACACACACACACACACACACACACGATTATAAATTCCATGAAAGAAAGGGCATTGTTTTGCTCAAAATTAGTTCCAGCTTCCACAATAGTGCCTGGCATAGTAGGTAAATCAATATTTGTGGAAGAAACGGGAAGAGGGAGGAAAAAACTAAGAGCATTTTTCAACCATCAGTTTAGCAAAGATCAAAATATTTTATAACACTGTGTTGACAAGTATAGGTAAATAAGAATATTGCTAGTAGATTCTATGATTGGTGATTTGGCATTAACAAAAGTACAAATTTCCCTCTTCTATGCTGTAGTAACTCCCTTTCTAGAAATGCAGACTATGGATATATCCTTACACATGAAAAATGTGAGTTCACGGTATGTTATTGCAGCAATGTTTGAAAAAGAAAAATTGGAAACAACCTCATGACCACCAACGGGGTAGTTTATTAATATATTACGGCACATAATACACAGTTGAATACTGTGCAGTTGTTTAAAAAGACCAAGATCAAGGAAACAGTTATGTACAGTCTTTACCAAGATCACTTGGTAAAAAGAAAAATAAGAAAGTTACAGAAATGCTACTCTTTATGCAGAGGGGAAAAAGCGCAGACAATCTATAACGGTGTAATGTATCTATGGAAGGATATACAAGTCACGAAAAATACTGTCAAACTAGACGCTGGGGGACATTTACTCTTTTTAATAAATGTATGTGAATGCATTACTTATCCATATTACTTATTTAATAATTAAACTGGAAAACATTTTTAAAAAGTAGAAATAAGACTTGCTCGCAGGCCCCGCAATCCCATCAATACGAGGTGTAGAACCCGGGTCCTCCACTGCCTAGGGCTGAGGAGGCAAGCCCTAAAGCTGCCACAGAGGCGAAGCTTCCTAGAGCGGCCCGGAAGTGCCCGGCTGAAGCGGCCGGGCGCTGATTGGTGTCTTTGAGTCTAGTCTTTGTTCGGGGCTGTCCAAAGGACGCTAGCTATTGCACCTGTTCCTCCCCGCGCGTAAGGTGAGTGTCTCCCGGCTCCCAGGTGGAGAAAAGGGGACAAGGCGCAGCTGTGGTCAGCAGCAACACCCTCCCCACACCTCCCTGTCGCGGGCAGAGTGTAATACTCCTCTCCCTCCCTCCGTCCGTCCCCCAACACATCTACGGGAGAGGAGTTGGCCCGACCTTCTGGGAGAGGACGGGTGGAAGGGGGACACTGGTTGCGGGTTCCTTTGCAGAGGCATCTGATTCCCTTCCAGGGTTGGCACACATATCCTATAACCAGTGAATCCTGGGGACACAAATGGCCCATGCATCTCATAGTAACAGAATGAAGAGCCTTTTAACAAAGCAGTTAATAATACTTGGTGTCTATTTAGTGCTTACTAGTGCCTGCTGCCATGCCAGAGACATTGCATACGTTCTCATGTAATCTATGTATCAACCCTGTAACACACATGAGAATTGTACATGAGGATCTGTAGTTCTAGTCCAAATAAATAACTTCCTCTAAGTTACACAATAGAGCACAGATTCAAACCATGTCCCTGCGTCACTGTTTATTGTTTTGTTTTGTTGTTTTCAGCTTCCTATAAGACTGTTTTCTCTGATTGACTTCTGGTGGCTTGGCTTCATTATGATGTGTTTATGTTCACAGCAATTTTTGTAATTTCTCTACGGTAACAACTTTTTATGCCTTAGGAGTGTCTCTGAGGCAGGATTCTAAGAGATTCTCTTTGACTCAATCTCTCCTGACAGAGCCCAGAATGACCACAGCCCTGGAACCTGAGGAACGAAAAGGACTTCCGATAATTAAGGCAGAAGACCATTACTGGGGACAGGATTCCAGCTCACCAAAGTGCAGTCCTCACAGGAGGGAACTCTGTAGACAGCACTTCAGGAAGCTCTGCTATCAGGATGCACCTGGACCCCGTGAAGCTCTTACCCAGCTGTGGGAGCTCTGCCGTCAGTGGTTGAGGCCAGAATGCCACACCAAGGAGCAGATTTTAGACCTGCTGGTGCTAGAACAGTTCCTGAGCATTCTTCCTAAAGACCTGCAAGCATGGGTGCAGGCACACCATCCAGAGACTGGAGAGGAGGCAGTGACTGTGCTGGAGGATCTGGAGAGAGAGCTTGATGAACCTGGAAAGCAGGTGTGAAGGGGCAGTCATCTGGCTGTGAGTGATAAGAGCATATGGACAGAGCCAAAGCAAAAGGCATATGAAAAAACATCTCAAAATATTTATACTCTAAAGAACAAGGCATAGGAAAGGACCTGACTACCTATGTCAAATAATTAAAGTGTGGCTGGGTAAAGAGAAAAGAGTCACTAGACTGATTCTATGCCTGTTTGGAAGGCTAAGATCAATGGGAAGTTACCAAAAGGCAATCAGGTATTAGAGGAAAAGAAATAATTTTCTGCCATTCATAGATACCCATAAATAAAATAGGCTACCCCATAAGAAACTCCCTTTCCATATAGGTATTCAAGCGGAGATTCAAGTAGATGTCAAGGATATTGCAGAATAGACCTGTCCAACAGAAATGTAATGAAAGCTGTATATGTATTTAAATTTTCTAGTAGCCACATTAAAAAAACAAAAACAGGTGAAATATATTTTTAACCCACGATATTTATCTCATTTGTACTAGCCATATTTTAAGTACTCAGTGACCACATTTTGCTAGTGACTACCATATCAGACAGAATGGTTATAGAAGAAATGCTCCCATTTGCTGGAAGTTGGGCTAGATGATTTTTAAGCTACCTTCCAAATCCCAGTGCTCTGATCCTGGACTTCTGCAGCTCAATGAAAGAAGAGACACTGAATTTTACTCTCTAGTGTCCTGAATTGTAGAGATTAGCCTCTGTTCCTTTTCCTAGCCATTATTGCCATTTACAATGAAATGAGAATTTGTCCCCCCTTCCTATGTCCCTGGCAGATGTTTCATTTGATTATCTGAAGTTACTTAAGTTTCCATAAAGTTCACCTTACACACCTTATTTTCCCTAGGTCCCAGGCAATTCAGAGAGACAGGACATACTCATGGACAAGTTGGCCCCCTTGGGAAGGCCGTATGAATCACTGACTGTCCAGCTCCATCCCAAGAAGACCCAACTGGAGCAGGAAGCTGGGAAACCACAAAGGAATGGTAAGCAGGAACAGCTCTAAGTATATGAGGGAAGAGGTGCTTCCTTAGGTGAGAGGAGAACTTTCTCCTTTTAAAGATTCCCTGCTTGTCCTCCACCTCACTGTAGATAATTTTCTCCTGTTATTACCCTTACTCCATGACAGAGTTATATTTTAGTTTCTCACTGGACAAAAAAAGCTGTTATTTGGCCCAAGGGATGAGGATGGAGTTTATTTAATATCCTTATAATTCTGTTGTTATCTAATGATTCTAGTTCCAAATCTCCCTAAATTTCCATTTTGAGACAGGAGAACTTATGGCACCCTGTATTGGTCAGCGAGGCCTGCCATACAAAATATCATAGACTTATGGGTGGCTTAACAATAGAAATTTATTTTCTCACAGTTCTGGAGGCTGGAAGTCCAAGAAGAAGATGCTTACAGGGTTAGTTTCTAGTGAGGCTTCTCTCCTGGGCTTGCAGACTTCTTGCTGTGTCTTCACATGGCCTTTCTCTGTACACACACACTCCTGGTGTCTCTTCCCCTTGTAAGGACACTAGTACTACTGGATTAGGGTCCTACCCTTATGAATTCATTCAACCTTAATTACTTCATTAAAGGCCCTATCACCATATACAGTAATGTTTGAAAGGGGTTAGGGCTTCAATGTGTGAATTTGTGGAGGAAGACAAGTCAATCCATAACACATTCCCATGATGAAAGAAGTAGGGAAAAGAGACAATGATCAGTCAGTACAGCAGAGTTTCTTGTTTTTATCTGCATGTCAAATTAACTGGGTTTGGTCCCCCATCCCAGCTCCCTAATTACAAACGAGGGTGTCTAGTGTATCCCCCAGGCTACATTAAAAAGCAGGTGAATTTTAAATTCCAGTTTGTCCAAACCCTACCTTTTTCAGTGCTTACCGCCCTTTCTCTAGAGGCTCTCATGTCTAATAATGCCTCTCCGGGTAGTTCCTTATACTCCAGCCTATTTTGTATTCTTACTACTTAAGTTTTACCAATATAGTTCTCCCATTTTGTAGGATCCCTACCCAATGATTTGTCTAATCTGAAAGATTATTTTGAGCGAAGATGTTCCTAGCTGCTATCTGGAAAGGATGACATTTAATTATATGTAACATAAAGAAGCCTTTAAGTGCTTTAACTCTAGGAGTGGAGTACTGGTTACTGTTTGACTTTAGAAGTGAGATTGAGAACCTCCTATCTGTTCTTTTTTATTTTTATTTTATTTTATTTTTTTTTAGAAGAGAGGTCTCACTATGTTTCCCAGGCTTGTCTCAAACTCCTGGGCTCAAGTGATCCTCCCACCTTAGTTTCCCAAGTGCTAGGATTATAAGCGTGAGCCACTGTGCCTAGCTCAACCCATCTTTTGATTCATTCATCTTTCATTGAGCATTTACTAAGTAGCAGCTGTATGCCAGGCACTATACTAAATGTAAGGAATCCAAAGGTAAGACACTTACATTACTTCTCTTCAAGAAGCAGGAGAGTGAGCACTTACAATAGCATAATAATTACTGTACTAGAGATACACTGTGAACTGCAAAGAGGATAGCTATCCCTAAGGTGCACCTGCAAAAGTATCACAGAGTAGGCTTGCTTGAGCTGAGAAGGTCATGTGGGAACTGAAAGGGGGTGACATTTTAGGCAAAGAAACAGAGAAAAAAAATAGCATCAGAGAATAATATTCTAAGAATAGCAACTGCTCTGAGTTTGATTCTGATAAGGAGTCATCTGTGGGAGGGAAAATCAGCAATCTGTGTTTTAATAAACCATCCAGCTGATTCTGATGCACAGTAAGGTTAGAAACCACTAAGCTAGGATTTAGACAGGAGGCGATAACAGCAAGAACATCAGTTTCAGGAAAAAAATATTTTATCCAGCATATACACTGACTATCCATTGTCATTTCCTATTCCTTTTCATTCCTCTGTTTACCCTGACCTGCATGTTGTCACCCTGCTTCCAGCTAATTATTATCCTTCAAACACACGCCTCTCCTTGGATGGTTCCTATTCACTATATTCCTCTCAAACCCCAAATCCTATTATCTTCTCCATTCACTTTTACTTGATTTTACTTGCCACCTATGTTTCAGGCCCCTGCATGTTTCTCCCAAACTTTTACCTCCATCCCCATCTCTGTTCTCCAGTTTCTCTAATTATCCTTGGCATATCTATAGTCCTCTCATTTATCCTTCTTCCCTTATACAGTATTGCTAGCTTATCTCTTGAGCTCTATTTTTGCCTTTTCTTCTTAATCTACTCTCAAACAACTTCTTCTGCTGATATCTTCCTTCTTAATTTCTTCCCTCCATTGTGACTCTGTGCTATGATGATACCAAAAATAAGATGGTACCAAATATTTGATATGTGTGTTGTTATGTTGACTTCTCATTATTTTATAACACATTTATAACATTTACATGTTCTTTCTTCCATAGGCTGTTTGCTTCTCAAACATACAATAGGACCCGTTTGTGTACTGTTTGTTTGTTACAGGTGATAAAACTAGGACTAAGAATGAAGAGTTGTTCCAGAAGGAAGATATGCCCAAAGACAAGGAATTCCTTGGGGAGATAAATGACAGACTGAACAAAGATACTCCTCAGCATCCTAAGTCCAAAGATATTATGGAAAATGAGGGCAGATCAGAATGGCAACAGAGGGAAAGAAGACGATATAAATGTGATGAATGTGGGAAAAGTTTCAGTCATAGCTCAGACCTTAGTAAACACAGGAGAACTCACACTGGAGAGAAGCCCTATAAATGTGACGAGTGTGGAAAAGCCTTCATTCAGCGCTCACATCTCATTGGACATCATAGAGTACACACTGGAGTAAAACCCTATAAATGTAAAGAATGTGGGAAAGATTTCAGTGGGCGCACAGGTCTTATTCAACATCAGAGAATCCACACAGGTGAAAAACCCTATGAATGTGATGAGTGTGGAAGACCTTTCCGAGTAAGTTCAGCTCTTATTAGACATCAAAGAATTCATACAGTAAATAAACTCTACTAATATAGTAGTGATATCAAAAGTTCTTTAGACACTCAGACCTAACTAGTTATCAGAGAATCTAATTTAGAAACCTTGAGTTTCCTCAGTGTGGTCAAAGCTTCAGTCATCATTAAATTTCTCTGGCACCAAAGAATCTACCTGAGTAAAATGTCCTTTTATTTCAAATTAGTTCAGTTTTGAGGGGGAATCAAGAATTCTTTCAGAAAGCTTTGTCCACTGACAACACTGCTCACCTGCAGTCCAAGATCAATGGTTCCTGGATGAAAGACAGTGAATTAATTCTGTCTCTGCTCTAGATCCTTTTAGTTGACCATTCACTGTCTGACTTTAGGCAAGACATACAGTTTTTCTCTGCCTTCATTTCCCTTTCTGTACAGATGATAATGGAAGCTCACCAGGTATGTTTTGACAAGTTAAAACAGATGAAAACTACTTTTGAGATTAAGATAAAAACAATGCTAATTATCTGTTTTCCATCATTACTCATATAATATCCTAAATATCCCTTTTTTATCTTAAAATGGGGAGTATGATTATTTTTTGGAAATTTTTGTTTGCCAGTGATAAAGAATAAGCCATCAGAAGACAAGGCCAGCCTGGTCAACACAGCGAGACCCCACCTCTACAGAAACTTAAGAAAAATTAGCCAGGCATGGTGGCACACACCTGTAGTCCCACACAACTATTTAGGAGGCTGAGGTGGGAAGATCACTTGAACCCAGGAGTTCAAGGCTGTAGTGAGACGTGATTGCACCATTGCACTCCAGCCTAGGCAACAGCAAGACCTTATCTCAAAAAGAAGAAAAAAAGGAGGCTGAGGAAAACAAAATGGAGGAGAAGGCAGTCTGTGATCATTAGGAGTTGCTGGGGAGAGGAAAGGATCTATAACTAGATAAATAAATTCTTTTCTGGATTTCAGGTTCTTTTAAACTGAGGGAGATAGGAAGGGGTTGATCTAACTTGGTCCAGTTTGTCCAGATTGGTGCCCAGTACTCACATTAACTCAAATAAAATGGAAAATTCAGTTCCTCACATTTCAAGTGCTCATAGCTACATGTTAGTGGCCACTATATTGGATAGCACAGATATACACTTTTTTTGTCTTTTTTTCACCCAGGCTGGAGTGATCCTCTGTTCACTGCAAGCTCCACCTCCCAGGTTCAAGCGATTCTCCTGCCTCAGTCTCCTGAGTAGCTGAGATTACAGGCATGCACCACCATGCCTGGCTAATTTTTGTATTTTTAGCAGGATTTTGCCATGTTGGCCAGACTGGTCTCAAACTCAAGTGATCTGCCCACCTCAGCCTCCCAAAGTGCTGGGATTAAAGGTGTGAGCCACCACACCTGGCCACATCACTAATTTGAGAATCTTATACCATGACAGGAATTGTGGCCGAAGGCCTTGCACATTCAAATTCACACCACCAATCAAACTGCCAAGAGCAGAACTCTGGTTCTTTGCTTAGTTCTAGGAATAATGATCACCAAAACAATCAGGAAAGAAGTGATCTAATCTCTTCAAATCTCTTGTTTTCAATTAAGAGATTTCAATTGAAGATATCTATTAAGAACACCTGCTTTATCGTTGTGTTTAAGATCAGGAAAACTACAAGAATCATTTTTATGTCTACAACTATAGCAACATGAATCTTTAAAAAATAATAATAATAAAGAGTTTAGCCTCATTGTCCAGACTGGAGTACAGTGGCACAATCATACCTCACTGCAGCCTGGAACTCCTGGGCTCCAGCGATCCTCCCACCTCAGCCTTCCGAGTAGCTGGGACTACAAGCACACACCACCGTGTCTGGGTATTTTGTTTGTTTTAGAGATAGGGTCTGACTATGTTACTCAGGCTAGTATCGAATTCATGGCCTCAAACAATCCTCCCATCCTCCTCCCAAAGTGCTGGATATTACAGGCATGAACCACCATGCCCCGCCAAGAAAATGAATCTTGAGGTATTTCTCATAATGCCCTAAACATAAACTGAGCTTTTATGTCCCTTTAACATAATGGTCCTTTAAAAAAAATGTATATTTACTTTGAATATCTTACATCAACACATTTTTTAATGTCAGGTTTCACACGAATACTTGTTTTGTGACTTACTATAATTACCTGAGCAATATTTCAAAGAATTTGAAACAGTCAAAGAAAGGATTTTCTTTAATGGTCCTGAAAAGTAAAGTATGAAATATTTAATATTAGTATTAGAAACATCCTTATTTTAAAAATAAAGTTAGGTGCTTTCTGAATAATGGCTTTTCCCCTTTTACCTTTAATCTTTCTGAGAAACACTACAATGCTTAGAAAGTGTTCAGATCTTTAAAGGGGAAACTCACATTTCTGATCTTATCCTTCCTTGAATTTAGGGAGGCTTCTGCAATGGTAAGAAAGATGATTTTGGCTACCCCAAGAGTAGATTTCCTAAAATTGGTAAACACATGACAGACTGATTTTCCTTTATCCTCTGTATCAGCAGTCCCCAACCTTTCTGGAACCAGGGACTGGTCTCGTGAAAGACAATTTTTCCAGGGACAGGGAAGTGGGTGTGGTTTCATTTATCATTAGATTCTCATAAGGAAAGTGCAACCTAGATCCCTCGCATGTGCAGTTCACGATAGGGTTTGCGACCCTGTGAGAATCTAATCCCACTGCTCATCTGACAGGAGATAGAGCTCAGCTTTGCTTGCTCACTGGCCCCTCACCTCCTGATTTCCTGGCCATGGCGGGGACGTGGGGACTTCTGCTATATATGACAGAACATTCCATTCAGCTAGTAGTTTTGAATATGTATTATGTACAAAGAGCTGTTCTAGTCTTAGAGTTCTGCACCCTTAAAGGCTGAGTGAAGAGCAGTCTGGAGCAGTACAACCATTCTACCCTTTTTAGATTTTTTTTTTTTTTTTTTTTTGAGGGGAATTTTTTTTTTTGAAAGGGAATCTCGCTCTGTTGCCCAGGCTGGAGTGCAGTGGCCGGATCTCAGCTCACTGCAAGGCTCCGCCTCCCGCACGCCATTCTCCTGCCTCAGCCTCCCAAGTAGCTGGGACTACAGGCGCCCGCCACCTCACCTGGCTAGTTTTTTTTTTTTTTTGTATTTTTTAGTAGAGACGGGGTTTCACCGTGTTAGCCAGGATGGTCTCCATCTCCTGACCTCATGATCCACCCGTCTCGGCCTCCCAAAGTGCTGGGATTACAGGCTTGAGCCACCGCGCCTGGCCCCTTTTTAGATTTTATGTTGATTCCAAATTGCCACCACAGTGCCCACCACAGGTTTGGTCTAATGTTAATCAGAAGGGTAACGGTAAGAGTCAGGGAGGGACAGAAAGACATGGGGCCAGAGACAGCCTAGCATGATGTAGGTAAGAGAAGAACAGTCAGTGGGATCTAGGATAATTGCAGGCAAAAGGCAAAAGAGGCATGAGGTCAAAGGAAATCGAAGTAGTTGCTGGTACTATGGAGATGCAGGCAGTGTCTTAGTAAGCATGTAGAAACCCACAGAAGAAACGGGTGGGAGTGCAACCAGTTAGAAATAACACAGCTCAATCAAGCCACATTTCTTGGAAGAGGAGGTGTAATATTTTGGACACTGTATCAGTTCTAGAAGAGAGCCATCCCGAATGGACAGCACCTGGTCTGAAAAAAAAAAGAAAAAAGAAAAAAAAAAAACCCTGAACATCGAAAGCAGTTCCTCAGAGAGTTGTGTCGAAAGCAAATGTGGTGTTGTTCTTCATATCTTTCTGGAGGGTTTTTTTTTTTTCTGGGGGAGGAGTCAAGAATTTATATTTTGTAGTTTCATGGACTAACAAGACAGTAATTACAACAGACAGCTATAGGGATTATGGGGGACAGCTCTCTCAGACACAGATGGGATGGTAGTGAACTGGCAGTTCTAAGGGTGTCAACAGGTATGAATGGAACAAATAGATGAGTGCTGAGGGAGGGTCTATAGGAGGTGTCAGTGGGTATTGATGAAAAGGGGGAAAACGAGGAGAAAGGGATGAAAAGAGAATAATTTTAAAAGGAGGGCAAGGGCATAGGGAGAGGAACAACTATAAAACAAGGGATGGAGATAGGAAAGATAGACAAGTGATTCTAATATATTGGCATCAATCATTGTTGGAGACAGTGGATCATCTGATACAAGCCATATAAAGGTAAAAAGACTAGCTCCTGATCCCAAGTGCTTTGAGTCTTATGTGTACAGCACACACTGTATTAGCTTTATTAAATGGTCTACATTCTTATCCTGAGGATGAAATTATTTTATTATAGTCTCATCACAAAATCCATCAACAGTGGAAACAAATGGAAACGGAAATGCTTCAAAACAACCTGTTTTTCCCATCATAATATTACAAGGGAGTTAGGCTGAGGTTTTAAAAGAGTAGGTATCTCAGTCTTTCTTACTCAGATCCACTAGAGCAAGGTTTCTCAACCTTGAGAAACTATTTCTATTGACATTCTGGGCCAGACAATTGTTTGATGTCAGGGGCTGTCCTCTGCACTGTAGGATGTTTAGCAGTATCCCTGGCCTCTACCCACTAGATGTTACTAGTACTTCCACTTGTGATATCCAAAAATGTCTCCAGGCAATTTGGTGGGCAGGCTGAGTGAGGCAAATGTCCCCTGAGAGGCAAAATCACCCCCAGTTGAGAACCCCTGAACTATAGGAAAATAATCAGATTTCTATGACTGTTCCACATCATATACAATAAAATTCTACTTAGAAATGCTACATGTGGCCGGGCGCGGTGGCTCACACCTGTAATCCCAACACTTTGGGAGGCCGAGGTGGGTGGATCATCTGAGGTTGGGAGTTCCAGACCACCCTGACCATCATGGAGAAACCTCATCTCTACTAAAAATACAAAATTAGCTGGGCGTGGTGGCGCATGCCTGTAATCCCAGCTACTCAGGAGGCTGAGGCAGGAGAATGGCTTGAACCCAGGAGGCAGAGGTTGCAGTGAGCCGAGATCATCGCGCCATTGCACCCCAGCCTGGGCAACAACAGCAGAAACAAAAGGAAGGGAAAGGGGAAGGGAAAGGGAAAGGAGGGAAAGAAGGAAATGAAAGAGAGGAGGGAAAGAAAGGAGGGAAAGGAAGGAAAGAGAAGAAAGAAATGCTATATGTGACCAGCACTACTGGACCCTTTTCCTACCCCAGAAAATTATTCCCAACATACCTAAAATCAGTGCAGCAATGATGCTAAAAAGTAGTCTACTTTAGAAAGCCTTACCTTATTTACTAGTGAGGACTAGTAATGTGACTTCAGTGTGACTTGCATAAAGAGCTTACACTGCATTTTTGCAGACCTTCCCCTTCCCTCCTTGCCACACTTCTGGTGCAATTTTCTTCTTTGCCCCTTAACCCAAACATGAACATAGACATTTTATCCTTGATCTAAATCTGTACTGTCCAGTGTAGTAGCCACGAAGTACATTCGGCTCTGCAACTGAGGAACTAAATTTATAATTTTAATTAAACTTTAAAACTCATAATTCACTAGGTAACTTTTAAGTATGTTTGAAATAATTTGGATGTGTGAATCTATTTTTTCCATTTTAAATTTTATGTAATCTCAGTATAAATTATTTATGAAAATGTAATATGTGAATTGAGATGTCCAATAAGTATAAACACACTGGCTTTCAAAAAATGGAATATAGGATATTAATAATTTTTATAATGATTAGATGTTGATATAGTAATATTTTGGATATGATGGTTTAAACTAAAGATAATTTCACCTGCCTTTTTGCATTTTAATATGGCTATTAATAAGAAAGTTTTAAATTACATAGGTGAATCCTATTATCTTCCTATTTATTAGACAGAACTGACCTTCAGTTCTGCAGAAGACCATTCCACACAAAGGAGAGAGGTAATGCAAAGTCTCTGATTAGGAATGAATTTGGTGTGTTACAGGAACTGAAAAAGGTCACATGTTGAAAGCACTGGATTAAGGGGAAGGTCACACAAGATTAGGTTAGAGAGGTGAGCAGGGGCCGGGATGTGTATTCTAAACGTGATGGGGAACTACTAGAAGGGAGGAACATAATCCAATGTTTGTTTTTAAAAGATCATTCTGGCTCCTTAAAGAGGCAAGAATGAGAAAATAGCAGAAGTAAGGAAATCAGTCCAGAGGCTACTGTAGTAACCCAAGTGAGAGAAGGTGGTGGCATGGACCATGGGTTCCCAGTGGGTATAAAGAGAAACAAACAGATTTAAGGTACATTTTGGAGATGAAAATATAATCTTGCTCATTGTTGTAGATTCCTAAATTCTGCTTGAAAAGATGTCTCTGTATTAGGTTAAACAAATGAAATCCCTTGTTTTTGTGGGTCAAAATGGTTAAATACCAGAAAGGTAAAATGATTTAACCTAATAGAAACAAATAATGACAGAGAAGAATCAGAGGCATGAAACTGGAGAGGGGACATTGAAATGGGGCTTATTTATTAAAATGAAAATTTTTATTGTTCTCTTCTCCTTAAATCTCTCTGTGGAAGGCACCCTTGTCAAAAAAAAAAAAAGAGAGAGAGAAAGAAAAAACAAACAAAAACAAACAAAAAACTCTTTGTTTAAAGACAAATTGCCAACAAACCCGATGAGATTCAGAACACTGCTGCAATAACGTATCTCTGTAGAAACTTATACTTTCATCTGGGCAGCAAATTTCCTAAGCTGATAAAACCAGGTTATCAACGAAAGGCGAGAGTACAGAATTTAAAGGAAGAATGCCTGAATATGAATCTTTGTTCTGCCAGTTACTAGTTATATGACCTTGGCTAATACACTTATTTTCTCTGAAACTCAGGTTCCCCATCTGTAAAACAGTATTATAATGATATCTACCTCATAAAGTAGGAATTAAATGAGTGACCAAATGTGAAAGGTTTAGAAGAGTGATTGGCCCATAATGTTATAAAAGTCTTAGTCCCTAACAGCGCACTTAGATCTTTTTGTTAGCCTTAAATTCAGCATTTTCTTCCTATCAAAGCTGCTTAAATCAGTTAACTGACATTTGATCTTCATGGACTCATTGTATTGTTGCTGTTGTGTGTATTTTTAAATAATACTCGTAATCTTAACAATTAGCATAATTTTGAACCGCTCCCTAATACTTAACCCCAATCCCAAACCGGACGGTCGAGCCTATCCACCGGCAGAGAACACCACCCAACCTCGCTCTCACTCTGACACTCACCGGCCAGACCTTTTCTTCCGTCCGTTTTCTGCCTCTGGCCCAGGGCCCAGTTCACGTAGCGTTTTCGTGGGCTGCTTGGGAACCGTTAGCAACCGGAAGTGGCTAGAGGTCGCGAGAGAACTGAAAAAGGGGGCCGGTCTTTCCCAGCTGCCTAAACACTTGGGTTCCGGCCTGGAAGGAGGCCCAGGGCTCCCACAAGGAGAAATTAGGGACCTATTTGGATGGATCCGAAGAAACACTGTCTGGCATCTGATTTGAACGAGGCTCGCCGCAGCTGGGCCCTTTTCGCAAAGTAGGCCCACTGCAGACCTGTGGGAACCTCCGGGATGCCTGGGGACCCGCATCTGCCGCTACCCGCAATTTCCTATCCCGACCCTCTCTGCAGTTGTCGACCCCAGCCTGAGACTTTGAGCGTGGGGTCCCACAAACCCTGGCACCGAGGGGGCCGAAGCCGAGGGATCTTGGGGTAGAAGAGTGGTCCTATAGAGCTGCCGCTTCGGGAGAGCCCCCAGTCGACCGCTGATGGGGAATGGGGGATTTTATTGTTTTAGTGCAGCCCGCCCCCGGAGAAAGGCGGGCTCGGACGTTCTTGACTTTAGGATAGACTGGGGAGGGGCGCCGAGGAGCATTCCTCCCTTTACGTCTCGCGGTCGCAGACTGTATTTGCCGGTGCCCTGCTCACTGGGAACCGGCAGGACCTTGCGGACTTACGGAGACGACAAGGGGCCTATTTTGAGTTTCTCTGATCCTTAGGGGAAATGAGTGTCTAGAGCGAAATAGGTGCAGAGTGCCGGCACTGGAATTCTTTAAACCTGGATTCAAATTCTGACTCCACCACTCTCCAGTGAGGACTTAGGGCAATTTATTTTTTAACTTCTTCAAGCCTCTGTTTACTCGTTTATGTAAGTCAGGCTAATAACGTAGTGCCTATTTCATAGGGTGGCTTTGACTATTAAGTGTGAGAGTGCGTGTAAGAACAGTCTAAGGGCATTTCCCTGCCTTTCCCCTTGTCTGCTGTCAACTCTCATCCAAGTCAGACAAATGGAATTAATTAACCAACTTCCGCTTTTCTGAAGCACGGGTGAAGAAGAGTGAAGTACAGGACTTGGGTAAAGGAAAAACCAAGAAGGATACAAAAGATGGATGGATGATCCACAGAGGTGCTCATCCCAGCACTTTCTCCTCACTTGTCGTCTGTCACATGGTGGGTGCTTGATAAGTACTTGGGTGAATGAGGACCTACCTAAGGAGAAGGAATTATTGAATAAGACTAGAATTGAAGGAAGAGGATGAATCAGATTGATTAGCTACTTGACAAAAAAAGGCAAACCACTTTTCCTGTCAGAAATGTATGGCACATCTGCATATTTCAAGGGCTACCACTTACTAGAACTGGGAGGGAGATCTCAGAACCGACACCTCAACTATGGAAGCTTTAATCTATTGACAGCAAATGTAACAATAGCAAGTAATATAAGACAGAATGTGATCAGTGCAAAATCGAATAATAAAGTCTTGAGAGGGGGTTATTAGAATAATAGACGAATGTTTAGATTGAGTAGTGAGCAATGAGATAAGTCCTTTGACTTGGGGGTACAGGGGAATTGTGACCAGGGGTATGGGATAGGGAGAAGGTCATTCTGGAAGGCAATAAAAGGCAGACTGGATGCTAGTGGTATAAAAAAAGGAAAACACTTGTTTATCAATGTCTATCAATGGGGAAGAATTACATATGACATATGCTATTGAGGAATACCTTTCAACCGTTAAAATGATAAATGATCAGTGACAAAAGGAGTGTCAGAACAATATATATTCCATTTTTGTTGAAAAATTTTGTGTATATAATTTGTGGGGTATTTGTACAGGAAAAGGATGCACTCCAGACTTAACAGTGATTACCCCATGTCGAAAATTGTGAAACTTTTACCCTACTTTGCAAGCTAACAATTTAACTTGCCACAGTTTTATGGGTACTAACAGAAGACACTGGACTCCTGCGTCAGAGACATAAGACTTTATTACTTAATAACACAGGCATAACATAACATAAGCTTTATATTCCCTTGTTCCCAAAGCTTATGTTCCCAAAGCCCACAGAGTGGCCTAAGCTTGGCATTCCTCTGCTAGGATGGAACAGTGGGTTTGCTTAGCCTTTGCTTAGCCTTGCCCCAGAATGAGCCATTATCTTTATCCTGGTCAGGAAACAACTGTGCTCTAAAAGGAGATACAAATATCCTTGAAAAGCTAACCTGAAAGAAAAATCTACCATAAGACTAGGAGTAATTTGAGAGACCATTAAAGAATTATCTCCCAACATTCTAGGTAAATACCATTTGAGGGTAGAGATACCAGCTTTTAATAATTTGATATATCATGTTTCATTTATTTTTAAAAATACAAAAAATAAAAGGCAAACAGAGAAGTTTAAATTTTACTTAGAGATAAGGAACCACTCAGGGTTAGTGATTGGAAAAATGATAATGATATTTAAGGACCACGTCTTGGATAGTTAGGAAGACTATCTCAAGGCTGTTGCAGTCACATAGGTATGAATTAATTAGAACTGAGGATGGTGGTTACATTAATGGAGAAAAGTAACATTTCAAAGGAGAAATCTGGTGCTGATAATTTCTCCTTTATCTCCATATTTCATTGAGTAAGCTAAGGAAGCCTCTCAAACCTGGATAACTTAGAAATTGGTGATATTATCAACCATTCTAATGGATATGTGGTGGTAACTCATTGTGGTTTTAACTTTGCATTTCCCTGATGAATAATTATTACTTTTTAGTGTGCATACTGGCCATTCTTTTATCTTTTGTAAACAAAGTGTTCAAATATTTTGCCTATTTGTGTTGAATTATCTTATTCATTTAATTGTCAGAGTTCTTTATATATTCTGGATAGTTCTTTGTCAGATAGATGTATTACAAATATTTTCCAGTGTATAGCTTTTTCTTCACTTTCTTAATGGTGCTTTTTTTGAGAAGATTTAAATTCTGATGAGAATTTAAATTTAAAATTTTGAAGTCAAATTTCTCAATTTTATCTGTTATAATCGGTGTCTGTGTGTCCAGTTTGAGAAAACTGCCTATAGCATGATGCTATTTTACTTCCTATGTGTACACAATTTTATACATAGTATGTGCAGTCATAGTTGTGTGCACATTCAATTTGTACAACTACGTATGTGCACTTCAGACTTAAAAATTATTTGTTTGTTTATTTAAGATGAGACAGGGTCTTGCTCCACTGATCAGGCTGGAGTGCAATGGCAGGATCTCAGCTCACTGCAGCCTCTGCCTCCCAGGCTCATGTGATTCTTCTGCCCCAGCCTCTGGAGTAGCTGTGACTACAGGAGCCCACCACCATGCCCGGCTAATTTTTGTATTTTTTGCCAAGACGGGGTTTTGCCATGTTGAACAGGCTGGTCTCAAACTCCTGAGCTCAGGTGATCCTCCCGCAGCTTCCCAAAGTGCTGGGATTACAGCCATGAGCCACCTTGCTCAGCCAAAAAAGTTATTTTTTAAACGTAAAAAAAGAAACAAAGTAGAGTTCTAATCTGTCACCAGTTACTTCCAGTTACCATCCCAGGTGGAAAGCAACAGCTGTGAAATAAAAAGCAAAAATAAGTGCTTTGAAGGAGTCCAGAAGCACTGTAGCTTCCTAGTGTTTACTATTATTTACTTGTTTTCATGTGATAATTAGATGACAAAACCCTTAAATCAAAACAACTTTGTCAGTACACAAAATTTGGGGAGTTAGTAATTGGGAAGGGACAGAAACGGTGGTGGTAGCTACCAGCAGGAGCAGATAAAGAGGGAAATTAAGGTGAAAATTGGAGGAGCCCTGAGAACTCAATAAATAGGTGGTTGGGAAAGGCGCTGAAGGAAATAAATACATGAGACCTAAACAACAAAAATTAACGCTTGCCACAACCTCCACCCCTGAAATCCTATTAGTCTCAAAAGTTAAAAAGCTGTAATGCAACAGGTCTGTTCATTACATAGGGCTAGGGCAGTGGCTCATGCCTGTAATCCCAGGACTTTGGGAGACTGAGGCAGGAGGATCACTTGAGCCCAGGAGTTCGAAACCAGCCTGGGCAACATAGTGAGACCCCCCCCCCCCCCGTTTCTACAAGAAAAAATTTTTTAAAGCTGAGGTTGGTGCACACCTGTAGTCCCAGCTACTTGGGGGACTTAGGTGGGAAGATTGCTTGAGCCCAGAAGGTTGAGGCTGCCGTGAGCTATGATCACACCACCACACTCTGCAATAGCGCCCCGTCTCAAAAAAAAAAAGACTAGCAAAAAAAGAATGAACATAGATTTGTTCCCCAAATTTTGTGGTATTAAAACTAGGGTTTACTCCCCAAGCTTACATCATAGGTTTAGCATTAAAACAGCTAAGCAGCAAAGCAGATGTTGTAAGCAATTGAAATTCATTAACATAGGAAAGAGTGGGAAATATGTAAAGATCCAAAAAGAATATATATTTAATTACGATTTTTTGAATACTTAATAAAGTATGCGATTCCTAAGTGCCATGCCATAGGGATTTCACAAAACTATGAACTGTGATTAGCAGGAATTTCTCATGAAGTTTGTACTCTATGTGGGAGGACTGGATATATTTATGAATATATTTATGAACAGTAAAGTACAGGGTATGTAACGGGGCCAAACGCGAGTCCAGTTGGAATCCTAAGGAACCATGAAGTGCTCCCTCCTCCAACACTTTCCTAGCCTCCTTACACAGCTCCAGCCTCCCTACGTCGGATATCTACCCCCAGGGGTCCGTTACTATTGTCAGCGAACGCGCGGAGCTGCACGAGCACACAAGGCAGAGGGGACACCAAGGTCCGTTATTCCCCAGCACGTTCACTGCCCCAGCGACGGGGAAGCCTGAGGCACGCAGACGAACCCGAGGCACAGCACACAGCAGGTGAGGGGCGTGGTACTCCTGTACCCGCAGTCGGCAGACCATAGAGCTTTTAGACCTCCAAGACTCCTAGAGAGCTTCCGGAAGTGCCTTTGGGGCAAGATGCGTGCTGGACGGTGTTGTGCCTCCGCAGATTTGGAAGTTAGTGGCCGGAGGGCCCTGGTCGGAGTACAGTTTTCATCCCCTTTACTTCCCGACCTTTTTCCGGGTGTGTTTATCCGTTGCAGCGTACCTTCCCCCCGCCGGGGCGCCTCTGCAACTCACAGTGAGTACGGTCGGGCTCTGGGTCGGAGAAAAGTGGGTGCTTTGTGGCTGGTCCAGGCCGCAGCTGAGGACTGGCGTGAGGGGTCCGCAGAGGGGCCTGTGCGGTGGTCGTCGCCGCGGACCGATTCCGACGCCTTAGTTGCTGGTACAGGCAGAGTACGTCCCCACGCATTGCCCTCGAACTTTTTGCGAGGGAACCTTTTATGAAGCTTTCTTCATAGATAATCGTTTTGTGGTATGATTTTGTAGTCGATCGTGTTTATCTTAAAATGGGGAACTGACCCCCCCCCATGTTATTTTTTATCCAATTATTTCCAGAGTCTGAATTGTTTTCAGATAGCGCTATTTTGCGTTTCGGTCACAACAAAATTCTCAGTTTTTAAAAAAGACATACTTTGCTTTTGGAAGCCCCAGTTTTCCATGCATACCCATTTTTGCTGTTACTCTGCTTTCTTTAGTGTTTTCAGAAACTGGTGATGTGTTGACTAGATAATTGTACGAAAGTTTGTTTTGTTTTTTTTTAATTTCAGGGTAATTCAGAATTCAGCGTTATCAGAATGCCTATTTCATTTGTTAAAGCAAA